GAAAAGTCAATGGCATAATTATGTGTAGTTTTCACAATTGCAAGAAATAGAAAGTAGTAAAAACCATTTTTTCTATCGCTCCCTTCCAACTAGATTTCTTGCTCTTAGCTTCCAGCTTTCTCTGGGGGTCGATAGATTCTTCCAATTCCTATGTAGCTCGCATTCTCTGGGATCTTGTAATCAGGGCCAAAGAAGTCTCCACCAATTATGAAAGGTGCAAACTAAAAAAAAAGAATTTTCTTAGTTGGTTATTCTCGATATAAGGCTTGCTAAGACAGCTTTATAAAAATTTGTCTCCCAAGTATCAAGTGATTTCTTGATGCTTTTAATAATTATTTCGCTCAAATAACTTTACTCTACTATTGAACCAAGTATTTAAAATGAAGCTAATTTTTTGAACCCGTTGGTTGGCTGCAGCAGCAGCAGCAGCTTCCTTTATCTTCCATCTATGCCAAGCCCTTTGCTGATAGTTTGTGACTGTATTCGCCAAAGAGTTGGCCCACAGATAGTCCTTCATTGTATATTCATATTCATTAGCATCTAACGATAATAAATGCAACAGAAGCACCAAAAATGTTTGGAACAGCAGTACTTTCATTACTCTATCTTCAGCAAAAAAAAATATTTTTTAAAGAGGGACAATAAAATTAACAAATATCTGTGAATGATTTTGGTCACTGTCTAGTTCAGTCTAAAGATATTTAATGCGACCAGGACTAGTAATGACGAAGTAATGGTTAAAAACGCTCTTGTCTATCTTTCTGAACAAATTGTTTGTTAGTGGAGGCTGAGTGAACAACGTAAAAAAATTGGAAAGCTGGTTTGAAGCAATCAAAGTCCACCACCAAATAAGTTAAAAAACGATATTTATTTTCAAAAACAAGTTTTTACATCTTTAATATCAATAACTGTTGCAAACTAAAACGTGAAATTTAGTTGATGATCTGTGGCATAGAAAATTGATAAGATTTTTGCAACTATGACTTTTCATCTCGTTTATTTTTTGCTTTTATTGATTTTTGATCTTTAAGAATAACAACAAAACTTTACAGTAACTAAGAGAACATATTTGTATTGTATACAACGAGAATCTACACCAAAATCTCGAGAATATATTACGATTTTCTTTGTTTTAAAGACATTTTATTGACCTAATCATTAACGGCGGCAACTGCATTATGGTTAAAGAATGGCAATAGCTGTGATATTGTTATAATAATACATCAGAATTATGGAATTTATAAAGTGGAAGCCGCTTCAGCATTATTGAATTATTTGTTTATTTGTGTTTTGCCACTTTATTCAAAAACATTTACCGTTTTCTGTCGATAAGCAGAATTGCATATCCTTGTTTTTTGTCAGTTCTCATCTAAGTGTTGTCTTTGAATTGTTTCTGGTAGGTCAACCTTCCGTTGTTCTTCTGTTTTCTTATACGTTTCATTTCACTGTACTACTTTCTTCACTGTTTTTTAAACTTTTACCAATGCAGAAACTGAAA